AAGAGGAAGAAACGAAAAAGATAGTGAAGCGATATGGGTAGAAAGACAAAGACGGTGATGTGTTACTTAAGGAAGAGGGAAGACAAGAAAAAACAAAGAGAAAAGAAAGAGAAAGAGAAAAAGAAATGAAAGAATGAAACAAAGCGGGAAATGGGAATAGGACGGCGTGCAGTGAACATGCAACGACGATACTCGAAGAAAATCAAATTTTTGTGATGAGAACGATGGACTGCCTGATCCGTCTCACCATTGATAGTTTTCAAGCTGGCCCGCTTCCGGCAGAGCCGGTACTGCACGATGCCACGCAATGTAATATGTGTAATACGGCACTCAGCCGGTCAGACAGACAAATAGACCGATAGCTAATCAGCCAGTCAGCCAGCCAACCAGCCAACCAACCAACTAGTCAACCAGCCAATCAGCCAACCAACCAACTAGCCAGTCAGCCAATCAGCTAGTTTATCCATCTGCTTGCTTGCGTACGATTTTTAACAGATAAAAATAATCGTCAAGAAAATAGAAAAGTTCCGAAGCGAACTGGTTTTTGCAAAGCGAAAGAGAGCGAGTTTGTCAGCCAACATGTTTTCGTTCTCACTCACACTTTCGTTTAGCTGCGCTACGCTATGTCGCGCTGCATCACACTGCTGGAGGGACGCGGATGCATGGTTTCTGACAAGACGGGTGGCTTACGGTTAGTATACGGGACTGTAACATTGTCGATAGTTTCTATCTATCATGTTTCTTGAGATAGTTGTTTCTTTTTCAGTAAAGCATGAATATATGAAAATATGTGAAAGACATATGTCATTCGGGTGTATGGGCATTTATAATTTGTAATGTGAAATTTGCGTTATTAAAGGAAAAAAAAGTCGGAAAAAATGCACTGTTTATGATTGTTTTTTTAACTTCTTAACTTGTTATAATTTTGTTTAAAATCCTTATTTATATGGGGGTTTTAAATGTTCATGTTCTATATAAAATTTTTCAGTATTATTTCAATCTACAAGACATTCATTCTTTTTCTTTTTTCTTTTATCAAAAGTTAAATATCATAAGATTCAGTACGATAATGTATTGTAAATATAAAAGGAAATCTTAAAAAATTTATTAAATTTTCATATTTTATCGAATTTTATATTCTTGTATATAGCTATGAGGACAAATGTTCAGAAATAATATTTTTATTATAAGTCTATACATCTCAGAAAGAGATTATTATAAAGATTAATTTGTTATAATTTAATTTCTAAGACATAATTGTGATAATAATCTAGATGAAACTTAAGCTACAAGAGAAACAATTTTTAGAGTTAACATTATTAATAGAATAATTTTGTTCAACACATAATAGATTCGAATGTAAATAGTTTATATTCTAATGCATAGTATAATTATATATTCTTATAATGCATACATAGTGTAAAGTAGTATTTAAAAATGTTCAAATTTGAAATTATTCTTGTCAAAAAGAATACAATAACTGACAACTCTCTTGCCACGGTCCTGAGTAAGGCGGACCCGTGTATACCGCGAAGAGAGGTAAGCAGTTGAATCGGATTGGACTAGGGTGCAATTCTGGTAGCAAGGCGCGAGCAAACTGGTTTCGGTTTTGTGGAACTTGCATCATTGCATCGCTTTTTCAGTGAGACAGTCCAATTTATGCATCACGGCTATGTAGGCATTACACGATATCAAAACGCTGTGTCCGAGTCTTAAATTTTACACATACACACATACATATACTTGTGTTGTCTCATCATCTTCATCATCATCATCATTATTATTACCACCACCATCATCATCATAACTACTAAAACCATTATAATCATCATTCCACCATCATCATTGCCATCACCACCATCACCACCACCACCACCATCACTACTACCACCACCACCACCACCACCACCACCACCACCACTACCACTACCACCACCACCACCACCACCACCACCACCACCA